ATTTTTTTTACGCATGTTCTTGATTAAATTTATTCCTTAAACGGGGTCATTCCATTTCAACTTTCGGGATCGCGACTCGGTGAATTATTACAAGAAAAACTCGTCTACCACAGTAGACTCGACTCAAAAGCGGGAATAGTGTTCGAGCCGGATTTTCCGAGTGATTCTGAGGATTTCCACGAGATTCGGAGCAAAGCGGAGCAAACTCGGAGTAAAGCGGAGCAGATTCGGAGCAGGGCGGAGCAGACTCGGAGCAAAACGGAGCGGATTCGGAGCGAAGCGGAGCAGAACGGCACGAGTTCGAGCCATTGAAGGATTGAAACCATCGACAGAGAAGATACCATAACAGAATAACGTCCACGGGAACGAGAGAGAGCGGAGCATTATTAGAGCGAGAGACCGGGGTGGAGCAGTGAAGAAGCGCGATTCGAGCATAAATCGTAATATGGTACAGTCGAAACGATATGCTTAAGTAACGGTTATAATATTATATACGAGCCGTTGGAATTTGAATATGGCCGAGGATCTTAGTACGTTGCGGTGAGACGGAGATCGGTAGTGAAAGGTCAACTAACACGTATTTACACTTATGTTGTCTTTCTACCGTTAATTGTTCCTGATGTTATAGAATGTCAGGCCAGATTGCAAAAATTACATGATTTGTGGCACGATTTTGAAATCAATCAGGGACGGATCGAAGACCTTGAAGTAAGCGAAGTACAAACTCAGGAACGAGAGGCATTCGAGAACGGTTATTATCGAACCGTCTCAGAACTAAGGAGACGAATAGAGCCGAGACAGGACAGACCGGCGGACGACGAAGCACGCGCTAGAACACCGAGCGAAATAACGAATGACGACGCGGATTGAAAGTAGAGTTAAATTACCGACATTAGAATTACTGAAATTTGATGGAAAGCATGCTCAATGGCTGCAATTTCGAGACACCTTTTAGGCACTGATAGGTAACAATGTTACCTTAGAAAAGATACAGAAATTTCATTACTTGAAATCGTGTTTGCAAGGCGATGCGGCTCATGTTTTGCAGTCATTAGAGACATCCGCGGATAACTATGCCATAGCCTGGACCCTTTTAAAACAACGTTTCGAAAATAAAAAACTGTTAATACAACAGCACATACAAGCCCTATTTAGCATGAGTTCCATTCTAAAAGAATCTGCGACACAATTACGTAAGCTAGTAGATGATACACAAAAACACATTCGAGTGTTGAAAACGTTAGGCGAACCTGTCGAAAACTGGAACAGCCTCATAATCCACATAATCGTTTCGCGAGTGGATGCGAATACTAAGCGGGAGTGGGAGACGGAAACTGTAAAAAAGGAGGCACCCACATTACAGGAACTATTAGAATTTTTATCTCAGTGGTGTGTAGTACTCGAGTCACTGCAATCGAACAGGTATCTAGGAAATAAACCAGCATTGCCTTCCTCGACGCGAAGAGGAGAAAATCACGTAGGCGCGCATGCTAGTCAGTTTGTTGATAAGAAATGTCCTCTGTGTCAGGGTCATCACGAGATATACAGTTGTAAGAATTTTAAGGACATGACGGTGCAGTCCAGAATAAACGAAGTAAGGAGTCACCGGTTGTGCTTTAACTGTTTGCGAAAGAATCACATGGCGGATAGGTGCATGGCGGGCGGGTGCAAGCAATGCGGCAGAAAACACAATACATGATTGCATGACGATAGCAAAATACAAGGAGCGTTCGATGGATGGATTCGAAACAAGAGGAAACAAGTTCACGAGGCTTAGCTTCTAAGTCAATAATAGAAGAAAACAATAACAATAATAACAGAAGTCAGAGAATAGAACAAAAACAGTACTCAGTGAACTCGTCAACCTTGAAATTTAATAATCAGGTATTGGTTGCAACCGCCTCTGTAAAGGTATACGATCGACTTGGCCGCGAACACATATGCCGAGCGTTTTTAGATGCAGGATCACAAGTAAACATAATGTCGAGACCTGTGTGAGCGCTTGCAGTTGAATGAGCGGGGGATAGACGTATCGTTGTCGGGCGTAGGCGGAGGTGTAGCGGACGCGAACGGAGTAGTCAACACGACAATATCTTCCGCGATTAACGAGTTTAAAATAAAATTGCGGTTCCTCGTAATGGATCACATAACGGAGAGAATGCCTTCACAAAGAATAAATATAGCGACATTAAACATTCCAAGGAATATAAGGTTATCCGACCGACAGTTCGGCGATCCGGGCGAAATAGATATATTGTTAGGAGGAGGAGTATTCTGGGATTTGTTGTGTGTCGGACAAATCAAGTTGGGCAGGGGCTTGCCGATTTTGCAGAAAACAAAGTTTGGATGGATCGTGGCAGAAGGCTCACCCATCATCGATAGCCAATCAAACGGAAAGAGTACGGCGCTCTGTACGATAATCAGAGATACAGAGTTATTACAACAAATCGAACGTTTCTGGACTGTGGAGGAAGGGCCGTCGCAGATAATTAAGGCGAAGTTAACGAGAGAGGAATTGTTATGGGAAGAAGAATTTCGGGATACGCATTATCGTATGGCCAACGGGAGATTTGTGGTGCGCCTTCCCTGCCGAGAGGAACTCGATTGTTTGGGAGATTCACGAGAATTTGCATTGAAGCGACTACATTCGATATTACGAAGATTAGATCGAGACCCGGAATTAAAAACTCAATACACACAGGAATATTTAAAATCAGGACATATGTCAAAGGTGCACAGAAACGCGGAATTCACAGATGAAATAGCTTATTATTTGCCACATCACGCCGTTGTGAAAGAAGAAAGAACAACTACAAAGTTAAGAGTAGTCTTTGACGTATTCTGTAAGACGACCACCGGCAAATCGCTGAATGATATTCTAACAATAAGAGTCGGTCCGACTATACAATCAGAATTATTTGAAATTATCTTGCGTTTTAGACAACATCAATATGTACTCACAGGAGATATTGAGCAAATGTATAGGCAGATTTACGTAGACCCGAAACAACGGAATTTACAGCGGGTTTTGTGGAAAAACGATTCGACTTCACAAATTGAGGAGTTCGTATTAAACACCGTGACGTTTGGAGTCGCATCGGCTTCATTCTTAGCGGTAACATCAGATAGCACACGAGTCACGACTGGAGAACCCAAAAATAAGCAAAATAATATTAAGAGATTTTTATATGGACGACATGACAACAGGAACAGATAACATAGAAGAACTGATAGGGATCAAGGAAGGCGTGAGTAAAGTCTTGCGAGCTGGCGGATTTCCAATGCATAAATGGAAATCAAATTCGACAAAAATTACGTGTG